GTCTATGAAAATTTTTGACAAAAATGACGTCAAAATTCTGGACCACCTTAAAAGATGGTGGACTATAGCACACGAAAATCTGCAAAATGGGGGGTTTACCAACTCTAGGACTCGTTTGACCTTGTAAATGAGTCGTTTTGGTCGTTAGGGCCAACTGACTCCCTATCTAAGATCTTAACGTATGTCCATGAAAAAATTTCGATAAAAATGATGTTGAAATTCCGAATCACCATAAAAGATGGTGGATAACACAAGAAAAATTGGGGGTTTACCTTCTATATGTTTGTTTGACCTTTATAATGAGTAGTTTTGGCCGTTGTGACCAAGTAGCTCCATAGCTAAGGTTTTAACGATGTCCATGTATAATTTTTACAAAAATGACATTGAAATTCTAGATCACCAAAAATTCATGGACTATAACACACGAAAATTGACAAATGAGGTGTTTACCTGCTCTAGGGCTCGTTTGACCTTGAAAAATGGATCGTTTTAGTCGTCAGGGCCAACTGTCTCCATAGTTAAGGTCTTAACGGATGTCCATAAAAGAAATTTAGCAAAAATGACGTCAGAATTTTGGATTGCCAAAAAAAATGGTGGACTATAGCAAAAGAAAGTTGAAAAAATGGGAGGTTTATCTACTCTTGGGCTCGTTTGACCTTCAAAATGGTCTGTTTTGGCCGTGGTGACCAACTGACTCCATAGTTATGGTCTTAACAGATGTCCATGTTAAATTTTGGCAAAAATGACGTTGAAATTTCAGATCAACAAAAATTCATGGACTATAGTACACAAAAATCGACAAAATTGTGGGTTTACCTTCTCTAGGCTCGTTTGACCTTCAAAATGGGCCGTTTTGAGTGTGGTTACCATGTGTCTCCATATCTAAGGTATTAACGACGTCCATATAAAATTTTGGAAAAATGACGTCTAAATGGCGGATCACCAAAAATTCATGTACTATAGGACACAAAAATCTGCAAATAGGGGCTTACCTGCTCTGGGCTAGTTTGACCTTGAAAATGGGTCGTTTTGGTTGTGGTGACCAACTGACTCCACAGATAAGGTCTTAACAAAAGTCCATGTAAATTTTTGGCAAAATGACATCAAAATTTCGTATCACCAAAAATCTATAGACTATAGCACACGAAAATTAACAAAATGCAGGATTTACTTGATTTGCACTCGTTTGACCTTGAAAATGGTCCGTTTTGGCTGTGTGACCAACCGATTTCATAGTAAGGTCTTAACGGACATCCATGTAAATTTTTGGCAAAAATGTCATCGAAATTCCGGATCACTAAAAATCCATAGAGTATAACACACGAAAATAGTCATCAAAATGGAGAGATTACCTACTTTGGGGCTCGTTTGACCTTGAAAATGGATTGTGTTGGCCATGGTGATCAACTGGCTTCATATCTAAGGTCTTAAGGAACGTCCCTGTAAATTTTGGCAAAAATGACATCGAAATTCTGGATCACCATAAAAGATGGTGGACTATAGCATACGAAAATCGACAAAATGAAAAATTTACGTGCTCCAATGCTCGTTTGGAAATGGGTCGTTTTAGCCGTCAGGGTCAACTAGTTCCATAGATAAAGTCTTAATGGACGTCCATGAAAAATTTTGACAAAAATGACGATAAAATTCTAGTCAATCAAAATTAAATATTAATCTTGTCGGTCAATATTTTGGTTGCTATTCTAAAATAGTTACTTTGAATTATGATCTCTCAATGAATTAATATTTATCTGTCAATGTTTTGATATATAAGATCTCAATCTAGATTTTGTTCTTTTGAAATATATAATTAAATAAATAAAGATATATTATCTAAGATAGAGATTTTCCAATTTCAAACATCTATTTAAACGTAAAAGAATACATCATAAAAAGATTTTATTTAATATACAATTCGGTAAATAAAAATATTTTCTGTAGTACTTCTCTATTAACTATCACAAGTAAAAGAAATTCATACTTTATATTACAGATATCTGTAAACAATAAAATTTGACTCGATCAAAATGAATCAAACATACCATCTTTAATTAAGAAAAGTGAAGTATGACTGCAATTTTTTAAAATTATATAAATGAAGATGCTTCACGCATTGTATTTGAATAAAATAATTTGTTATTCATCATCCTCTTACCAAAATCAGATAACAAATTTTAATTTTTAAAGAACAAAAATATCCGTTAGAACACATCGTTTTCGAAACCTTATGGTCAATGAGACCAAAAAAAAAAAAAAGTTTTATTATTTAAATATTTTAAAAAAAATATTGTTTTCTTCTCAATATTTGTCACTTCTTCCTTATCCAGAACGTAACCAATAATTCAAATTTTGTTGGCCAACTACTAAACAATAAATTAAGCCAATAGTTTTTTTTTCCATCAAAACTGATGCGTAATGATATTTGTCTTGAGACTCGATTAAATTTAAATTCATTTTCAAGATAATGTTATAATATTTTTTCATTTTTTTAGAAGTTCGAACCTAAAAATCTCTAATTAAAAATGAAGAGATTTTAACTATACCACTAAAATTGATGTTGGTAAGTTAAATGGATAATCATGTCTTTTTAACTTTGGTTCATTGGTTTTAGCTCAACGTAAGATACAATTATAATGTCGGAATTAATAAATATGAATAAAATGACGGCATATTATGCTTTTTTTTTATTATTATAATTCTTGAATTATTATTATTATAAATATATTTTTATTCGTATGACGTTGAACTACAAACAAAAATTCATTATTGGTTGATTAAAAAATAAAGTTGCATATAAAACTTTTTTTATGTTAATTTAAGGAGAAAATATATCTTTTAATTAAATGCTAGTTAAAATTCATAAAATTTGATTCTCGAAAAACAAATAATGACAACTACTATATAATATGAAAGCAACATGTTGATTAATTAAATTAAAACTTGCTTAGTCCACCAACCAAACAAGCACTAATCTTGTTTATTTCTTAATAAATATCAATCAATCTCTAATCTTGTTTATATATATCTTTTCCATACATGTAAGTCTTGTTCATTTATCCAAACCAAAAAAAAAAAAAATTATCCAAAAAAAATAAAAAAAAAATTCTCTCAATATTTTCCAAGATGATAACCATAGCAACAGAACAAAAATTCATAGTAAAAGTTGAATCTCCAACATCTGAATTTCTTGTTGAAATAAAAGGAAGTGACAAAGTTGAAGAGTTAATCAAAATTGTGAAAAAAGCATGGGGAAGTGATTACATGTTATTAAGGCATAATTCTGTTGAAATGAAAGTTGATGAGAGTTTATCAAAATATGATGTTAAAGATGGTTCAATTATCAGAGTCAATGTCTTTGCTGAAGCTCCTTGATAAAAAAAATAATAATTATATTTTGTAAGTGATACGTATTTATTATCTGTTTTAATTTGTGAGATGTGAATAATAGATGTTATTACGTGTGAGTACAATCAGTTGAATTTGTTGTTTTTAGCTTGATATGTAGATACAACGTTATTCCTTTAAAAAAAAAAAAACCTTTTATCTGTTGAATTTATTTTGAATTTACTAGTTATATATTTCCAAGGAACAATTTTGTTGAAATAATAGTGGATAAGATTTTATCTACAATATTAAAGATAATATTTGTTATTGAAGTCAAAGTCTTTGTTAAAGTTTCTTGAAAAATTATTATTTGTAAGTTTGTAATATATGGGGTATAATTAGTTTTAATTTTAGGGCTTAATTTGCGGTGATGATTAAAAATTTTCGATTTAATTAGAGATTTATTTGAGGAGTGTTAGTAGTGATGGATTTATTATGGGTGTATTAGATTTGATACTTATGGAGTATTGGTAATAGTGAATTTAGGTCGCATTCGATTCGATTAAATTTATTATTTTTGGCTCAAATCATAAGTTTATATGTAAAAATTAGAATTATGATTATGGTTTACGCGTTTTTATATTAGTTTAAATTTAATTTTAACGGTTTATATGTTATAAGAGTCACTTTCAAGGGTAAGAGTACACAAATTTCATGACAAATTCATTATTTCTTAGTGAAACTAATATTAACTGAAAGTTTTTTTAAAATTATTAAAATATTCATGATAGTAAATGAAAAAAGAATATCTAATCTGATTTATTTTGGTTTAAACGAATTTTAAATAAACTTAAATCTTAATTTATTCAGATTCAACCCGTTCAATTATCACCTCAAAAATCTCGTGAAAAGAATATCTCTTTTTGATAATAAATATTCTAAAGCAAAAGATAAAAACAAAATTAAACTAAAAATGACGTGGCAGATAACATTTGATTGGTTGAAATAGATCATTTGAAGTTTGAACACTTTGAATACTTGTTATTATCATACTTTATTATTATTATTATAACTTAAATTTTACGTCAAACTATCACGTATAAAAAATAAAATAATAAAAATAAATAATATTTTTTAAAAAAAAATCAAATGTTTTTAAAGAAAAATAATTTTATTGAAATTGTGATAGTCCTCATAAGGTAGGGTAGGCCCTTACCTCTACAAAATTAGTATTCCCTCTATTTTAATTTTTTAATATATATGAATTTTTTTTTTTTGTTTTCATTTCCAAAAACAAATTTAATTTATACTTCTTAATAGAGATTCTATTCTTAGCGTACTGTAATTGTCCTAAAAATCTTTATGAAATATTTTAAATTCTTAGAACTCGTTTAATAAGTTGGATAAAATAAAATATTTTAGAATTACTTGTATTATTTTTTATATAATTTGTAATATCAATCAAACGTAATATAAAATTTTATTATTTTTATTTATTCATTATTTCAAAAATGGATTGTTACTTTTAAATTAGAGAAAAAAAACAATTTTGAAAAAAAAAATAGAAAATAAATATTTAATGTTAGAGGGTAAAACGTGGAAAGAAAATAATTGATATATCAAAAATAATAATTAAAAATAAAATTCATTTTTTAGAAACAAATAAAAGTGAACGCTGAACAGAATAAATATATTTTTCCCACATTAAAAATAAAATATAACGACAATCCTAAAATAACTTTTTCTCTCCTAATAAAATTTCGCGTCCAATCAAATACGCGTAAATTGATAGGGGTTGGGAGTGAGAGGGGACCAATTAATAAAGTAACCTAACTTATAAGACCAAAAAAAAAGAGGGTTAAGTTTAGGTAGTAACAAAATTTTATTTTATTTTTAAAAAAAAATGTTTTCTTCTTCTTCAGCATCATCAAATCCATCTCTCCGGGTGAAAATTCCGGTGACCGGAGAAGGAAAATTGAGAATAAATGTGAAATCTCCGACGTCGGAGATGTATACGGAGGTTAAAGAATCAGATAAAGTGAAAGATTTGGAGAAATTGATTAAAAAAGCATGGGGAGATAATGATAATTATGTATCACTTTATTATAATTCAATTAAAATGAATAGTGATTATTTATTATCTTTTTATAATTTGAGAGATGGCTCTATTATTACCGTATCTCTTCTCGCTGAACCACCTCATCATCATCATCATCGTCTTCATCATCAATCGGTACGTTTATTTCTGACTTTCTTCTCACTCGAGTTCATTTTTAGGATAATTGCATTTTTAGTCGTTCAATTATGAAATTATTATATTTTGATCCTTATAGTCATCTTGTTAAAGTCATTGTTAGGATGATTTATCTTATATGTGGTATTTTATCATGATCGTTTTCATTTACGTTATTGCCTTTTATCTTGAGTTGAGAATCTGTTCAAAACAGCCTCTCTGTCACTAATTAGTGATATAAACTCTAGAACTTCTATCCTTTTCATATTTTATTTCGAAATATTATACCAAATTTATTGATATTGTTATTGTTATATTGAATTGTATTGTCTTAATTAAATAGTGAAATAGTAGATAATTATGTTAAATTTTGTGAATATTTATGAGGAAAGTGATGAAAAACATATTTTAAGTAATTAAAGTTGAATATATTTATTTAGATATGATAATATTCAAAACTAAAATTTATTAGTAAATGAGGGACCAAAAATGTTATTAACCATTTTCTTTTTAAAAAATTGCATCTTTTGTCTCTTAATTATTCATGATTTTTTATTGTAGTTTTTGTGATATTTGAGAAAATATATTTGGTGTGCTATTAATTGAAACACGTGTTTTTAGTTATTTTATATAGAAAAATATGTTATATTTGCATTATTTAATTATTTTACTATAAAACATGGAGTAATAATATATATGAAAAAATAAATAGTAGAATAGTTGATAATTGTGATAAATTGGGTAGATATTGCATCAATTAAGAAATCAAAAGCAATACATTTGAAATAATAGAATGTTAAATATTCTTAATCATACATCACAATTACTGAAAATATAATTTATCAATAATTGAGATACTAAAAATAATATTACCTTTTTTTTTATTTTGTAAAATCTTGAATTCCTTTTACTTTAAGTTAATTGTCATTTTACCAAATTTGTTGAAAATTTAATTTTCAATTTCAGAAATTAATTGATACAATTCAAAAGATAAATTGACAGTTGAATAGATTGCAGCATGTGACCTACTTATCTTATCTTATCCAATTAATTAATTACTTGCTTTTTATTTCTTTTACTTATTTTGTCTTCACATATTAATTTCCAATATATTTTTTAAAATTATTAAAAGTGCAAATTATATTGATTTTGACATTGAGCCTTATGTATATGAGATTTATAGTTGATTGAAATAATAAGAATTTTTTTTCCATACCCAAGGAACAAAATCTCTAAGTAGATGATAAATAATTTAATGAATATCGATTCTTTTTAATTACAATTCATGATTTATGTTATTTGTCTTTTCAAAATTAACATAAAAATGTATAATTACGTAAAATATAATATATTTTTTAAAAATTTAACACTAATACAACGATATTTTTTAAAGAGTCAAAATAATATTTAACTTCTAGCTGATTGCAATTTTTAATTTAGAAATTTGGAAATAATATTTAATTTAGGAGTTGCTTAGTTTTCGAATTTCTCATCTTTGGAATTTGGAAATTTGACCAAATGTACTTTGACTAAATCAACTATTAGTCCTTTTTAGATGTATTTTTATTAAAAAAATATATCACTTTCCATTTTCGCGTAATTAGATATTTTAAAACTATAGATAAAGTATCGATATTCTAAAACTATAGGTAAAGTATTTTATTTGTTCAATAATATTTGTTTATTATTGATTTTGTGTATTTTTTAAAAAATTATAAATAAAATATAATATCTTGAATAATGTAAATAAATGATTATAATTAATGATGAGGAAAAATAAGAAACTCAATGTAAAATTATTTATTGATTTCATAAAATATTTCAAAATAATATAGTGAATAACTATTGTTGAACAGAAAAAGTAAATAAATACAAACAATTAAATCTCTTGAAATTATCACATAAAAGATGTAAATAAAGGATAAAAATGAATAAAAATTCCAACAACTCTCTTGGGGAATATTACTTTAGCTCATTAAGAAAAGTTGCAATAACTAATTACTAAATTATTTCTATTTATTTTATATCGTAAATTAAGCAATATTAATAAAAATATTCTCTTAATATGAGGGTTTGGTTGTAAACAATTTTTCTGTCACGAATTTTTAAAGCAATATATGTTACGACGAACAAATAACTGTCGTTAAAATAATATTTATTTTGAAATAAAGAAAGTACCACATGTTTATTTTATATTTTTTTAAAAATATTTATTTAATGTTTGTGTCTTGGAAATGCAGAAATCTTCATGTGAAACCAAGAAAAATGTCAAATTTCAAGAGGAGACAAACAGCACCTCCAATGGTGAAATTAATGGTTGTCAAAGCTTTTTATTTCATATGGCAAAGATGTCATCTCAATTTTGCTCTTCCATATTTTCAAGACATTAAATTATGTATCTGAGAGAAAGTGGAAGGAGTTCGAAAGACGAATCGTCGTTACATATATCAATAAAATCGAGTTAATATGTTATTACTATCGATATTTATTAACTAAACATTCTAAGATTTTACGTTAGTTTTTTCTACTTTATTTGTACTCCTATAAGATCTACTTATTTTGACATTAGTCTTCATTCTCTCTTAGGGTTTTAAATATTTTGAAAGTTAAATCGGGCGAAAAACATATAAAATATTTTGTCTTTTTGAGTTTCATATTCGAAATTCGAATTATTAGTTGTATAAGTTTTTCATCTGAACTATTCTTAAATATTTATCAAAATGTTTAGTAATTGTAATATATTTATTTAATTATTTCAATCGAATATCTTAACCTAAGCTCTAGTATATCTAAGTATATACTACCAAACAAAATTTATTATATTAGTTTTAATAAATGAATAATCTCATTCGTAATCAACAATCAAATCAAACGAACTCTTAGAGTGAAATCTTAAATTTAAAATTATAGAATTTTCAATATGAAGCTTTTTTTTTTATTTGGAATTTTACTATAATTGATAAGGTGTCATTCTAAAATAAAAACAATAGTACAATTTTCATTTTCTATTTATATAAACAATATGATTAAAAAAAGATAAGAAATCCCAAAAACAATTGTGACATTCAAGGCTTTATTACAAAAGTAGCCAATATAATGTAGATTAAGTTTTAAAAAATAACCATTTTTGTTTTGGCCATTACATCCTCAACAAACAAATCAAAGTTTTTCTCTGAACTTCCATTGGCTAATATTGCAATTTCCATAGTTTTCTTCACTTCCTTTATAACCTTCCTCAAATCTTTTGAGTTTTCTTCACTCATAAGAAAATTAATCTTTTTTGCTATTTCCTCCTTTGTAATAATTGATTTATTATTAATATCATAATTATCACAAAGATTAATCCCAACTTTCCAATCATCAACCACCAACTTTCTATTAGTTTGTTGATCAACACTTATAAGATGACATACCATTGGTACACTTGCCCATAAGCTCTCTTACACCATTTTTTGGGTGATCCGGATTTCGACGTCAAAAATGCCAAATTTTTTCGTGGACGTCCGTCAAGACCTTGTCTATGCATACGGTTGGACATCACGGCTTGTCCGGCCCATTTGGAGGGTCAAACGAGCCCCGAAGCGAGCATACGCCTCATTTCGACGATTTTCGTGTGCTATAGCACACCATTTTTTGGGTGATCCGGATTCCGACGTCAAAAATGCCAAATTTTTTCGTGGACGTCCGTCAAGACCTTGTCTATGCATACGGTTGGCCATCACGGCTTGTCCGGCCCATTTGGAGGGTCAAACGAGCCCCGAAGCGAGCATACGCCTCATTTTGACGATTTTCGTGTGCTATAGCACACCATTTTTTGGGTGATCCGGATTCTGACATCAAAAATGCCAAATTTTTTCGTGGACGTCCGTCAAGACCTTGTCTATGCATACGCTTGGCCATCACGGCTTGTCCGACCCATTTGGAGGGTCAAACGAGCCCCAAAGCGAGCATACGCCTCATTTCGACGATTATCGTGTGCTATAGCACACCATTTTTTGGGTGATCCAGATTCCGACGTAAAAAATGCCAAATTTTTTCATGGACGTCCGTCAAGACCTTGTCTATGCATACGGTTGGCCATCACGGCTTGTACGGCCCATTTGGAGGGTCAAATGAGCCCCGAAGCGAGCATACGCCTCATTTCGATGATTTTCGTGTGCTATAGCACACCATTTTTTGAATGATCCGGATTCCGACGTCAAAAATGCAAAATTTTTTCGTGGACGTCCGTCAAGACCTTCTCTATGCATACGGTTGGTCATCACGGCTTGTCCGGCCCATTTGGAGGGTCAAACGAGCCCCGAAGCGAGCATACGCCTCATTTCGACGATTTTTGTGTGCTATAGCACATCATTTTTTGGGTGATCCGGATTCCGACGTCAAAAATGCCAAATTTTTTTGTGGACGTCCGTCAAGACCTTGTCTATGCATACGGTTGGCCATCACGGCTTGTCCGGCCCATTTGGAGGTTCAAACGAGCCCCGAAGCGAGCATACGCCTCATTTCAACAATTTTCGTGTGCTGTAGCACACCATTTTTTGGGTGATCTGGATTCCGACGTCAAAAATGCCAAATTTTTTCGTGGACGTCCGTCAAGACCTTGTCTATGCATACGGTTGGCCATCATGGCTTGTTCGACCCATTTAGAGGGTCAAAGGAGCCCCGAAGCGAGCATACACCTCATTTCGACGATTTTCGTGTGCTATAAGCACACCATTTTTTGGGTGATCCGATTCCGACGTCAAAAATGCCAAAAATTTTCGTGGACGTCCTTCAAGACCTTGTCTATGTATACGGTTGGCCATCACGGCTTGTCCGGCCCATTTGGAGGGTCAAACGAGCCCCGAAGCAAGCATACGCCTCATTTTGACGATTTTCGTGTGCTATAGCACACCATTTATTGGGTGATCCGGATTCCGACGTCACAAAATGCCAAATTTTTTCGTGGACGTCCGTCAAGACCTTTTCTATGCATACGGTTGGCCATCACGGCTTGTCCAACCCATTTGGAGGGTCAAACGAGCCCTGAAGCGAGCATACGCCTCATTTCGACGATTTTGGTGTGCTATAGCACGCCATTTTTTGGGTGATCCGGATTCCGACGTCAAAAATGCCAAATTTTTTCGTGGACGTCCTTCAAGACCTTGTCTATGCATACGGTTGGCCATCACGGCTTGTCTGACCCATTTGGAGGGTCAAACGAGCCCCGAAGCGAGCATACGCCTCATTTCGACGATTTTCGTGTGCTATAGCACACCATTTTTTGGGTGATCCGCATTCCGACTTCAAAAATGCCATATTTTTTCGTAGACGTCCGTCAAGACCTTGTCTATGCATACGGTTGGCCATCACGGCTTGTCCGACCCATTTGGAGGGTCAAACGAGCCCCGAAGCGAGCATACGCCTCATTTCGACGATTTTCGTATGCTATAGCACACCATTTTTTGGGTGATCCGGATTCCGACGTCAAAATTGTCAAATTTTTTCGTGGACGTCCGTCAAGACCTTGTCTATGCATACGGTTGGCCATCACGGCTTGTCCGACCTATTTGGAGGGTCAAACAAGCCCCGAAGCGAGCATACGCCTCATTTCGACGATTTTCGTGTGCTATAGCACACCATTTTTTGGTTGATCCGGATTCCGACGTCAAAAATGCCAAATTTTTTCGTGGACGTCTGACAAGACCTTGTCTATGCATAGGGTTGGCCATCACGGCTTGTCCGACCCATTTGGAGGGTCAAACGAGCCCCGAAGCGAGCATACGCCTTATTTCGACGATTTTCGTGTGCTATAGCACACCATTTTTTGGATGATTTGGATTCCGACGTCAAAAATGCCAAATTTTTATGTGGACGTCCGTCAAGACCTTGTCTATGCATACGGTTGGCCATCACGGCTTGTCCGACCCATTTGGAGGGTCAAACGAGCCCCGAAGCGAGCATACGCCTCATTTCGACGATTTTCGTGTGCTATAGCACACCATTTTTTGGGTGATCCGATTCCGACGTCAAAAATGCCAAAAATTTTCGTGGACGTCCTTCAAGACCTTGTCTATGTATACGGTTGGCCATCACGGCTTGTCCGGCCCATTTGGAGGGTCAAACGAGCCCCGAAGCAAGCATACGCCTCATTTCGACGATTTTCGTGTGCTATAGCACACCATTTATTGGGTGATCCGGATTCCGACGTCACAAAATGCCAAATTTTTTCGTGGACGTCCGTCAAGACCTTTTCTATGCATACGGTTGGCCATCACGGCTTGTCCAACCCATTTGGAGGGTCAAACGAGCCCTGAAGCGAGCATACGCCTCATTTCGACGATTTTGGTGTGCTATAGCACGCCATTTTTTGGGTGATCCGGATTCCGACGTCAAAAATGCCAAATTTTTTCGTGGACGTCCTTCAAGACCTTGTCTATGCATACGGTTGGCCATCACGGCTTGTCTGACCCATTTGGAGGGTCAAACGAGCCCCGAAGCGAGCATACGCCTCATTTCGACGATTTTCGTGTGCTATAGCACACCATTTTTTGGGTGATCCGCATTCCGACTTCAAAAATGCCATATTTTTTCGTGGACGTCCGTCAAGACCTTGTCTATGCATACGGTTGGCCATCACGGCTTGTCCGACCCATTTGGAGGGTCAAACGAGCCCCGAAGCGAGCATACGCCTCATTTCGACGATTTTCGTATGCTATAGCACACCATTTTTTGGGTGATCCGGATTCCGACGTCAAAATTGTCAAATTTTTTCGTGGACGTCCGTCAAGACCTTGTCTATGCATACGGTTGGCCATCACGGCTTGTCCGACCTATTTGGAGGGTCAAACAAGCCCCGAAGCGAGCATACGCCTCATTTCGACGATTTTCGTGTGCTATAGCACACCATTTTTTGGTTGATCCGGATTCCGACGTCAAAAATGCCAAATTTTTTCGTGGACGTCCTTCAAGACCTTGTCTATGCATACGGTTGGCCATCACAGCTTGTCCGACCCATTTGGAGGGTCAAACGAGCCCCGAAGCGAGCAGACGCCTCATTTCGACGATTTTCGTATGCTATAGCACACTATTTTTTAGGTGATCCGGATTCCGACGTCAAAATTGTCAAATTTTTTCGTGGACGTCCGTCAAGACCTTGTCTATGCATACGGTTGGCCATCACGGCTTGTCCGACCCATTTGGAGGGTCAAACGAGCCCCGAAGCGAGCATACGCCTCATTTCGATGATTTTCGTGTGCTATAGCACACTATTTTTTGGGTGATCCGGACTCAGACGTCAAAAATGAAAAAAAATTTCGTGGACGTCCGTCAAGACCTTGTCTATGCATACGGTTGGCCGTCACGGCTTGTCCGACCCATTTGGAGGGTCAAACGAGCCCCGAAGCGAGCATACGCCTCATTTCGACGATTTTCGTGTGCTATAGCACACCATTTTTTGGGTGATCCATATTTCGACGTCAAAAATGTCAAATTTTTTCGTGGACGTCCGTCAAGACCTTGTCTATGCATACGGTTGGCCATCACGGCTTGTCCGACCCATTTGGAGGGTCAAACAAGCCCCGAAGCAATCATACGCCTCATTTCGACGATTTTCGTGTGCTATGGCACACCATTTTTTGGGTGATCCGGATTCCGACGTCAAAAATGCCAAATT